TCTAGAGTTTACCCAAACTCTACCCCAATACAACTCAATATAAAACTGCTAAGATGCTAAGTACAAAGACACTCAAGGACTTAAGTGGATTTTTGACTCTTTTAGAAAAGCTAAGAATCGTAATGCTCAAGTGTGTTTTTTCAAAACAGAAAACTAATCCTATTTTTACAAGAGGAAAGCAGTTGAAAACCTTACGTTTTCCTTAGCTCCCACTATACCACAACTTCCATGAAATAAGGAAGTGCAGTTCGTGGATGCTTGGGCAGCAAGCTGAAGCGCACAACAAGGAAGTGGTTCTTATATTTTCTCAACCTCCTTTACCAAGTAAAAGCCGTTTGAAAAATAGTTTTACCAAGTCAGATTTTCCAAAATGTTAGGATAAAATCAGAACATAAAATCTTTTAATAAATAAGATATTTTACTTAAAAGATATTTTTCCGAAATAAAATTAAATCTTTGTTAAAGAAAGGAAAAATAAAATCTTTATAAACTGAAATTAAATCCACTTAAATCCTATCAATTAACAATGTACTTAACATATATACAAGAAGCCTAAAATAAATAATAAAGATACAATAGACTTCTTGGAACACAGTGAAGCTTCGACTCTGGAGCTTTAGTTCCTCACTCAAGGAACTTGGCTTCTGATTGTCTTCTATGCTCGTCCATAGCTCATCCTTTAGACTTGTTCCATGCTCCATTCTAACTCTAGAACTTTGTTGCATATAAAACCTGTCAATATATCAAAGCTAATAGACAAAAGTTAAAGCCCCTATGGGTTTGCTTAGGTTCCTTGAGTCATCATCAAAACTTAAGATCAACAATATTCCCCCTTTTTGATGAATGACAAACCTAAGCAAACTCACAAAATAAAAATTTTTGAAAGACAATCAGAAAACGAAAAACTTAAAACAAAAATGAACTAGCTAAATTTAAACAAGGAACTGAATGAAAGTTATAGTTATACCTTCTATTGTAAATGGATGGAGAGCTTGTCAACAATTGAGTTTGCCTTCTTTTCCTTCTTTTGGCGTTCATCAAAATTAATGCACACAAATATACATATCTAAACATAGCACCATTTTATTGGTTTGTGTCCAAAGCATAGAACAAAGCACATATAGGCATAAATAGTATGCAAATAGTCATAAAGCAATCAAGCAACATCCATATAAACAAACTGATGTTCCTCTAGAACATCAAAAACAAAAGAAAATACCCTGTTTAATTGTTTATAGACCAAAAGAAGTAAAATAAAACAAGTTCAAGTCAGATCAAGTTCAAGAAAATAAAGTTTTAGAGCTAAGACAGAAGGAAAACATCAAGCTTTAGGGGCAGACGACTGGGTATCTTCTTCAGCATCATTCGCTGGCACCTCTTCAATGACCAAGTCCTCCAATTTCTTCAACAAGTCAGCTTGCCCTTTGGAAGGAGTTGATGTGTTTTGATGCATTGCTGAGGTCAGCTCTGTGGAAGCTTTCACCAAGTCTGACACTACCTTCTCAAGAGCTTCAATCCTTTTAATCAACCATGATTGAGTATCAACTAGCTTTTGTACTGTCTCCTTGAGAGCCTTAAGTTCCAAGGTGGAACTCACTGTGTTGAAACTAGCAAAACCTAACCCTGTAGGAAATGTTTTTTCAACAGAAGCTTGAAGGATGCCCTGTTCCCCCTGAGAACCAGTTTTCTCTTCAAGGATCCCTTGATCCCCAGGTGCAATGTTTCTCTCTTCGCTCAGATCAACCACTGCGGCAGACTCAGCCTTGTCCTTCCCTCTTGGCCTAATAGCCAACCTAGTACTCTGTCTCTTCCCAGAGCTTTGAGTACTCTTTTGGTTTGGCATCACAATCACCTCTTTCTTTTTGTGTTCACCTTCTTTCTCACTGTCCTCTCCCTCCAACCATTTATCCAACTCTTCATCCTCCTTTTTCTTCAAACTACTCTCATCTTGTTTAGGCTTAGAGATGGATTTTGAGAGAAATTGAGTAGTTCCTTCAACAACAATTAGGTTTCGGGCTTCAAGAGTTTTGGGTTGGACATAATGGTTTGTTTTAAGCTTAAGGGATTCATAGTTAGTCATGGAAATTCCACAACTTTCAAGAAGGGTGATTATCAAATTTGCATACCCAACCTTTAGATGATTGGAAAGACAATGAGTGAGGTGCTGAATCATCAAAGATGGGAAATTTATCTGTATTTTGTTTTCAAGGCAATACATAAGCACGACATCAAGGTGATTAGCCTCATGTCTATGCTGGGTTCTCGGAATGATGGCTAGGTGAACAAAAATAAACAGAAGCTTTTGAATAGGTGAAAACAGATTATGGTTGGTTCGGACTTTGGAAGCTTTACCCCCAATTGACTCAACAATTTTCTCAATAGGAACACCCTCTAAACTGAATTCAGTTTCTCCCTTAAAATACTCATCAAATCCCTCATTAGGGGTTCCAAACACAGCAGCTAAATCATCAGCATCAAAACTAATTTTCTTGTTTTTAACTTTGCTAACACAAACTCCATTCACATTCTTAAAATTCGCACAAAATTCCTTTAAAGGTGCATGTGCAATCACATTGTCATAGCAATCACTAAACAGCTTAATCCAATTTTGTGCTTCAAGAATATCATGAAGTTCAGATTACTTACTCGATTCGCACCACTTTAGATTTATACAAAACCCAGGAATGAAACGTTCAGAGCTGGCTTCAAGCCTTTTGACAGCAGCGGACTTCGACTTTTCCCCTTGAATTGGTTCACCCAGTTCCTCATAGTCCAATTCTTCTTCAGCCTCGATCTTCCTCTTTTTCGAATCACTGCGAGCCATGGGTTTGTTTTGGGGTTTTTCAGCAACGGTTTTGACCGAGGTTTCAGTCTCTATTTCCATGGGTGATTCCTTTTGAGGAGAGTTTTGAATTTTGGGTGAGATTTCCATGGGAATTGGAGAGGTGTCACTAAATATGAGTGTGTATTTCACGGAGTGAGGTGGTGAGGAACAGTGGTTAGGGTTTGGCTTCATTTTACAATGGTGGAATTTAGAGGGGTGAATTTAATCGGTGAAAAGATGTAGAAGGTTAATTAAATGGGGTAGGTGTCGATTGATGAAGGATAGCACAAAACTTTTCACTTGGTCAGATTTTAATGTGATTTGACATGAAGGGTTTAAGTTAATTGCATATTATTTTTGGTCAGGAACTTTGAATTGAATGTAAAAGGTCACGGGTATTTAATCAACAATTTCAAGGAAAGAATTTGAAATTTAAAAGATAAGCAATGGAGGATAATTCAAAATAAAAGATAAGATTTTAAGTATATAAAATCAATCAACTGACTAGTTAATTAATTCACAAAAAGATAGAACAAAATCTTATAGATTATTTCGGAGGAACTAGGAACAAATCAACATAGTTTGTTAAAATACAAACATGCCTAATGAAATTTGATTTCTTCACATACAACCACAATCCCATATGCAATGCCATACATTCTAATGCTTAGGACTATGTTTTCACATATACATATTGTGTAAGATACATATAATGCATGCATGATTGACTTATACCTTGGGGGAACTTGAGGTCTTCTTAACTCAATTGTGTCATACCAAGTTCCATGCGCATCTTTTCAAATTTGTCCCTGCTCAAAGGCTTAGTAAGAATGTCAGCAATTTGATTTTCAGTTTCACAAAAATCTAACTTAATTAAACCTTTTCCCACATTATCCTTTAGGAAATGATGCCGTATGTGAATATGTTTCACACGAGAATGAAGAACTGGATCTTTTGAAATGCATATGGCACTAGTATTATCACAATAAATAGGAATGCAATTATGCTTTTTACCATAATCTCTTAGTTGTTGTTTTATCCAAAGTACTTGAGAACAGCAGGCAGCAGCTGCCACATATTCAGCTTCAGCAGTTGACAAGGCCACTGTATTCTGTTTCTTGGATCCCCAAGAAACTAGGCATGGCCCGAGAAACTGAATCATTCCTGAAGTACTCTTCCTATTCACCAAATCTCCTGCATAGTCAGCATTCGCAAAACCTTTTAAATCAAAAGTATCACTTCTAGGATAAAAGAGACAAAGATGGTCAGTTCCTTTGAGATATCGTAGGATCCTTTTTACTGCCGTAAGGTGTGACTCCTTAGGATTAGATTGAAACCTTGCACATAAGCCAACACTAAATGCAATATCAGGTCTGCTAGAAGTCAAGTATAAAAGGGATCCAATCATACCTCTGTATTTGGTTTGATCTACACTAGTTCCTTGTAGATCTTCATCTAACCTTGTGCCTGTTCCCATTGGAGTATGGTTGGTCTTTGCTTGGTCAAGGTTATATTTCTTCAGCAGTTCCTTGACATATTTTTGTTGGTGAATTGCAATACCTCTTTCAGTTTGTTTGATTTGTAGTCCAAGAAAGAAGTTGAGTTCCCCCATCATGCTCATCTCAAATTCACCACTCATTAGCTCAGCAAAGTACTTGCACAAGTTTTTGTTAGTTGCTCCAAAAATAATATCATCAACATATATTTGAACAACTAGTAAGTCAGTTCCTTCAGATTTTAAAAACAAAGTTTTATCTACTTTACCTCTTTTAAAATCATTTTGAAGAAAGAACTTAGAGAGCCTCTCATACCAAGCTCTAGGTGCTTGCTTCAGCCCATAAAGAGTTTTATCAAGCTTAAAGACATGATTAGGAAATTGGGGATTTTCAAAACCAGGAGGTTGTTCCACGAACACCTCTTCTTCAACCGTTTAGGAAAGCACACTTAACATCCATTTGATATAGTTTGAAACCCATAAAAGAGGAAAAAGCAATTAAGATTCTAATAGCTTCTAATCTAGCAATAGGAGCAAAAGTTTCTTCAAAGTCAATACCTTCTTGCTGATTATAGCCCTTCACAACAAGTCTTTCTTTGTTTCTCACAATTGTTCCATATTCATCCAGCTTGTTCCTGAATACCACTTGAGCCCTATAACCTTTTTGTATTTAGGTTTCTCTTAAAGATGCCAGACCTTGTTCCTTTCGAACTCATTAAGTTCATCTTGCATGGCAATTATCCAGTCAGCATCCTTTAGTGCTTCATCATGATTCCTTGGCTCAATAATGGATAGGAAGGCTTGAAAGGCACAAAAGTTCCTCAACTGTGATCTGGTCTGAGTTCCTCTACCAATATCACTTATAATAAGGTCTGTTGGATGAGAGCCTCGATATCTGAATGGCTTTGGTTGAAATTCTCTGGCAGGAACTCCTATTTGAGGCACTTCTTCTTCAGTTTCTTCTCCATTTTCCTTGTTGCCAGGTTCTCCATGATCTTGTTCCTCCGGGTTTTCTTGATTAGGAACTTCAGCATTTTCTTTATGTTCCTGTTCAGGTTCCTCTCTTACTTCCTTGGTTTGCTTGGAGGTTTCTTCATCTTCTTCCCTGTCTCTAATCATGCCAATTTCATAATCATTATTGTCTTGTTCAGAGTTTCCTTTATCACAAAATTGTGATATGCTCAGCAAATTGTGCATCAAACCCTCGACCAAAAGTACATTTTATATTGAATGAGAACTGGACCTTCCTACTTTTCCTTTAGCAATTACTTCACCCTTTTTGTTGTCTCCAAAGGTCACAGTTCCTCCTGGATAGGCCTCTAGTGAGAGAAACTTTGATTTATCTCCTGTCATATGCTTTGAACAACCACTGTCGAGGTACCACGTGTTGTTCCCCCTCACTAGGACCTGCAAAAGAACTTATTGGTTAGATTCAGGAACCCAGGTTTCCTTGGGTTCCTTGGACGTTGAAGCAATATCGGATTTCTTTACCCAAACTTGCCTAACATTCTTACTAACAGACTGTTCCTTCTTGTAACACGTGGCAACAAGATGACCAGTTTTACCACAGAAGGTACATACTTTATAACTAGGCAGGTCTACATATTTTTTCTTGCCCTTATGCTTAGAACGTATGAATCCTAGACCTTCAGTTCTTTTGGTTTGAGCATTCTCTATCCACTTAGGAATTCCAAACTGGCTAATGCTTCTTTCTTTCCGATGCTCAAGTTCCTTCTCTAATTTTGCCTTTTCAATTCTTAACTCATCAAGATCATATTTTAATTTTTCAAAATCCTCATTCAATTTAGGCAAAGATTCAGAGGAGGAACTCGGAGACACTTCAGTATTAGCAAGTTTGTATTGAGTCAATTCTACATTAACCATGATATTCTCAAACTTGAGTTTCTCATTCATTTCTTTTAATAGAAGATTTTTGTCAAAAAGTTCAAAAAATCTACTTTGAACATCAGCTCGTTGATTCTCAATCCACGTACTGTGTTCCTTGCTGACTTTGAGAGCTCTTTGACATTCACCTAGACGAATACTAGTGTGAGTCCAGTCGTCTTCTAATTCAAACACTAAATCAATGAGAGCATCTTTAGTATAAGTTTTAAGCACATTAGGATCAAGTAATACCTCTTTAGCAAGCTCATCGTTGTAAGCCTTTTCATCACGTTTGGCCATCAGACATAGATGAGTTGTTTCTTCTTCAGGTTGTTTCTCTTCATCCTCACTTTCAGAATTTCCCCAGGCAGCAATCATAGCCTTCCTAATGTCTGTTTTATTGAAAGGAGTTTTGTTGTAGTTGCTCTTAACTTATTCCTTTGCCTTCCATTTACCTTTCTCTGTATCCCAAAGTGGACACTCACGAATAAAGTGTTCTAGAGATCCACATTTGTGACAACCAGAGTCAGTTTTTGAAGTAGAGGGTTTCTTGGTGAAGTTCCTTGACTTGTTGTTTCGGTTGAACATTCTTTTGAACCTTCTTACCAACATAGCAACCTCTTCTTCATCGACTTCAGAGTCTTCTTGATCTCCATCTTTGAAAGCCAAGCCTTTTCCTCGGTTTCCTTCACTGTTGCTTGTTCCTAGGTGTAGCTCATGGGTTATAAGGGAACCAGCAAGTTGCTCAATATTGAACTTTGTGAAGTCCTTTGTTTCTTGTAAGGCTGTCACCTTGGCTCTCCATCTCTCATCTTGGGGGAGGCTTCTTAGAACTTTTCTGACCTGCTCATCTATAGGGATTTGATTTCCAAGAGAAACAAGCTCATTAGTAATGTTAGTAAATCTAGTTAACATTTCCTGAATTGATTCTTTTGGTTGCATTTCAAACCGTTCATATTTTGACATAAGCAAGTCAATCTTAGAGCGTTTCACTTCGTTAGTTCCTTCATGAGTGACTTGAAGTAAATCCCAAATTTCTTTAGCATTTTTACAACCCATAACATGGTTGTGTTCATTTGGTCCAAGTCCACAATGAAGTAATTTAACAGCAAGTGCATTAATTTCCATTTTCTCAAAATCTTCCTTATCAAATTCAGACATGGGTTTAAGTACTACCTCATTTTCACCAGTGGTTTTGGTAATTTCAAAATAACCAACTTCGATCACTCTCCAAACCTGGTAGTTGTCGGCTTTGATAAAAATCTCCATCCTGTTCTTCCAATAGGTGTAGAATTTTCCATTGAACATAGGAGGACGTTGCGTAGAGTAACCTTCTTCCAGTTTCTCGTGATTGTTCATCTTGATTCCAGGAACTTAACTAGTCAGGGTTTCCTGATTTCTTCGAGGAACCTGCTCTGATACCAATTGTTGACTCGAATGAACAATACAAGAGGGGGGGGGTGAATTGTATTGTAGAGGAACTAGGGTAATTTTTGCGGAATTCTTAAAGAAACTTAAACAAAACTTTAAAGTGCAAGAGAGATTTTACGTGGAAAACTTCTTGGCCCTAATCAAGAAGAAAAACCACGACCACAAGGGATTTTAATCACAACTCTTAATAATAATAGGGCAAACAACCTATTACAAATTAAGACTTCTAAACTCAAGTTCCTCTACGAACTTAAGTTCCCCCTCAACTGATCCCTCAATTAGTTGAGCTCTCGAATCTCTCTCTTTCTCCTTGCTTCACTCAAAGCAATTTCACACTCTAGAGTTTACCCAAACTCTACCCCAATACAACTCAATATAAAACTGCTAAGATGCTAAGTACAAAGACACTCAAGGACTTAAGTGGATTTTTGACTCTTTTAGAAAAGCTAAGAATCGTAATGCTCAAGTGTGTTTTTTAAAACAGAAAACTAATCCTATTTTTACAAGAGGAAAGCAGTTGAAAACCTTACGTTTTCCTTAGCTCCCACTATACCACAACTTCCATGAAATAAGGAAGTGCAGTTCGTGGATGCTTGGGCAGCAAGCTGAAGCGCACAACAAGGAAGTGGTTCTTATATTTTCTCAACCTCCTTTACCAAGTAAAAGCCGTTTGAAAAATAGTTTTACCAAGTCAGATTTTCCAAAATGTTAGGATAAAATCAGAACATAAAATCTTTTAATAAATAAGATATTTTACTTAAAAGATATTTTTCCGAAATAAAATTAAATCTTTGTTAAAGAAAGGAAAAATAAAATCTTTATAAACTGAAATTAAATCCACTTAAATCCTATCAATTAACAATGTACTTAACATATATACAAGAAGCCTAAAATAAATAATAAAGATACAATAGACTTCTTGGAACACAGTGAAGCTTCGACTCTGGAGCTTTAGTTCCTCACTCAAGGAACTTGGCTTCTGATTGTCTTCTATGCTCGTCCATAGCTCATCCTTTAGACTTGTTCCATGCTCCATTCTAACTCTAGAACTTTGTTGCATATAAAACCTGTCAATATATCAAAGCTAATAGACAGAAGTTAAAGCCCCATGGGTTTGCTTAGGTTCCTTGAGTCATCATCAAAAATTAAGTTCAACAATTTGGCTTCTGTGGTTCAAAAGTTTGTGGAGGTTGATCAGAAGATTGTGAAGATGGTTTAGTGTTTCGTGGTTGATTAGAAGTTTGCGGGGGTTGATCAGAAGTTTTTGGAGGTCTATCAGAAGTTTGTGGAGGTTGATCAGAAGATTGTGAAGTTTTTGGAGTTTTGTTTGCTTCTTGTTGCAACTCAGAAGTTTCAAGGTGGTGTTCAGATGGTAGTGGGGACTTTCCAGCAGTTGGACAACTAATAAAAAAATAACAACAGAATAAACATTTCTAACTAATACATGAATATAAAGAAAATTGAAATCATATGAATATATCCATGTTGAACTCAACATTCTCCATGAAAGAAAAGAAAATAAGAAAAAAAATAAATTCACTCATTGAGTAAATGTAAGAACTTCATCAACAAGATATCCAACTCTCTAAATGGTTCGGATAGCTTAAACTAATCCTTTGATCCCACGTTCTGCAGAGACGGGAAATATCTAAAAGATGCCTTTTCTTATGTGTTCAAGTGTTTAACCCAAGATATCTTAGCAACAAGCAATAAAACTATAGGACATCCCTACAAAGTTTCACCTCAAATTAGTATTAGATACTAAGTCATAATACTTGACAAAATGGAGGGAAGATTAGCTTATGAGCAAAGACGAGAAAATTAGACAATTTATAAGAAAATATATGCACATAGCATGCAAAATTCAGATAGAAAATGGAAAAAATCAGGTTCATAATGTAGTGAAATTGCAAATGCTATAACTTATCCAGATTCACACAAACTATTTCTAAAAACAACTCAAGTATAGCTAAGAGGTTGGCTGACCTGATGTAGTATCCAAAGAGTAATTCCAACAAACTCTATAATAATCCCCATATATCTCTCAATCCAAGTAGTAGCATCATCTGACGCTTCAACATTGACAACAGGGGCACTTTCAACCAAATTGTAGCTCAATAAAAGATCAAGACTCTTCTAATACTCATCTATTCACCTTAATTTTTTTGGAAGATTAAGTTCTGAAAACAGAAAATTAAACCTAATTTAGCATTGAACATGCAGGAATCAAACTTCAATTGTAAAATTTTTTTATAAAATTGGGATCACGCCCAATACTGTATATGTTAAAAACTAGAGCAATTTTATTTGAAGCCTGAAATTACTAAAATCAGAAGCTGTTAGTTAATTTGTTTCCCTAATAGTGATAATTAGTCAAATTCCTCATAGAAGTATAAAAACAAGCACACAATACATCATATTTAAGGATTTTCGCAGAAATGAAGAGCTATACCAAATCTCCCTGCAACAACGACGACACCACAATTCCCCGCGTACTAAGGCGCAACCATTCAACATGTGAGCCCCGCCTCGCCGCCTCGCACATCTCAATCTCCTCTGCCCCACCCTTCCCCCACACCCTATGCCGCCCATCATGTACTCAGTAGAAACCCCAAAACTTCCATTAAACTAAAACAAAAGTAGCAAAAATCCTAGAATTCGTAATAATTATTTTTTTCATATATTCGCTCAAAATTAATCAAAAATACATAATTTAGGTGGAGATTGAGAGCATACCATGATGATAATCTTCGATGAATGAGTTTTGGAAAAGCATTAGAGGGGTTATATTTGGAGCAGCATTAGTTGAGTTTCACAGCGGGTGTGTGTAAAAATGGGAAAAAAAGAATAGGAATGAAGAATTTAGTGTAGAGGAGTGAAAGGCTACATCTAATAAAACAAATAATTATAAAATTACAAAAAAAAAAAAAAAAAAAGAAGTGCGTGCTAGGCTGCTAGCAAATAGCAATCTAGCATTAGTAACCGACGTTAATGAAGCCCATTACAAGTAATACGGTCAATAAAGTTTGACTTTCTACTTGTAACTAGCCTTTTTTAGGTTCCTTACTAATAGTTAGTCAGTCTATCCTTGACCTACAATTTGTAACTGACCTTAGTCACGTTAGTTACGATTTCAAATATATTTGTAACCTGCATAATCTGTGTCAGTTACTAATACTTTTGTAGTAACTGGTATAACATATGCCAGTTACAAATAGGGCGTTACAAATAACACTTTTTCTACTAGTGATATATCCTAATATATGAATGGAAAGCAAACTGAATTGGAAGATGTTCAGTTATTATTTTTTGATATTCAAAAGTTTTAGATGGGTTGTTCAAAAAAAATATTCGAAACATAAGATAATGTAATAATTTAATAATAACCATGATATATTCCAATATAAACTGAAATATATAAAAGATGTTCAAAAGTTTTTAAAGGGTATTTAGGTCATAATGTTCGGTGATTTTTTAATGTTGTTCAAAAGTTTTTAAGGGTTGATCAAAAAAAATATTCAAAACATAAGCACAATTATTGAATATGCAAACAAGTATATAAATATTTATATAGAATCGTGTGTTGTTCAGTGGTTTTTGTTTATTGTTCAAAATTTTCTAAATGGTGTTCATCAATTAATGTAATAATTAAATGTTAACCATAATATATTCCAATTTAAACTTAAATGAAAGATGTTCAGTGGTTATTTGTTGTTGTTCAAAATATTTTTAAAGGTTGTTCAAAAACATATCCATGCATAATTACGATTTAATAACTATCTTTGTAGCTCCAGAATGTAAGGAATTTTACTCCGACTAAGATTATTGTCCATGAAATTAATGAACATTCAAGAAAATATAGAAACATAAATACACAATTGTGGGTTTTTCAGTTGATTATATTAGATGTTCAGTGCTTTTTTCAGAATTGTTCGTTCATACAAATAACATATATAAACATTAAATAGGAAACATATGAATCAAAATATACCTGTTTGATGGACTTTCTGAAACTTGTTTGTTTAATTCTTCCAATATATTTTTATCAACAATTGGACTTGCTTTAATATCTTCTAATTTCTTCTTTTTTGGTGTTTTGAGTTTGAACATCTGACTTAATGTCCTATTCAAAACATTTTTGTTTCAAATTATTTTTCAATTTTAAAAATTAGGGTTTCAATTACTTAATATTTTTTTTGTGAATTAGAACAATAAATCACTTACATATCTTCATCTTCTTCAGTTGACGGAGATTTTTTCGATTTTCTACAAGAAAAAAAATTAAATCGATGATTAACTATTTCAAAAAATTAAAAACGACAATAATTTAACAAATTTAACAAAATCGTATCATAATCAAAGTAATTGGAGTGATGTTCACCTTTTTGAAGGTGTTTTCGGTGATTCTTTGTCGTTCGCCATGGAAGTGCAGCAGTTTTTAGAGAGAGAAAATTAAGAGTTGAGTGAGAAAATTAAAAAGAGGAGAGAGAAATGCAAATAAATTAATTGAAGGAAGTGTATAATTTATGAGAAGAGAAAGAATGTTTTAAAATGATTAAAAAAAATAAAATGGCGGTTTATTTTTAGAAGTTTAGAACGATTATTTTTATTTTTTTTTTAAAAAACCGTATTATGTGGTCATGACGGTTGGACGAGTTTTTTTTTATTTGGGCGTGGGTTTTATGTCTGGGTTCTGTTTGTTGGGCCGCGTATTGGGCTGGGTGCACCATGGTGTATGTAATACCAATTGCCTTTTTGTACTTCGTCTATTTTATTTTACCCTGTAAGGTGATGTTCTTTAATATTTAATAATAAATTATTATAATAAAAATTAATATTTAATAATAATAATAATTATAATAATATTTAATGACAATAACAATAATTATATTATTATTTTAATTTTTAATAATAATAACAAAAATAAT